CATGTAATCAACAAATCACATAATGTCTACAGTTCACTCTTTCTATAATGAACTCCTCTTTTGTCTCTCATTCATTTCTTTGTAATTAACTTCCCTCTATAATGAAACTTTCCTTTTCATTTTTTTATAATTAATTAATTTTTCTTGATAATGAACATCCTAGTAAACACTCTCTATAACAAACAAAGGCATTTGAATCAATAATTAAAAATATTATATGTTTTGTAATTGTATATTTTTATTTTTTTTCAAAATAAAAAAATAAAATTTTTGCGCACCTTGATAAATTTATATATAAAATTTGAAATCTTTAATTCATAATGAGATCTTGCAGTTTGCGGGATTAACGGGATTATTTTTAACCAAAATAAAGTTTCCAACAAAAGGTATATTATTGTAAAGTATATTTTGGGTTTTACAATTATTTTTGATCATGTTATTTACGACCATGTTTTTCTATTTTAAATAATTGAATTCGAACAGTCACACAATATAAAAAAGATCACCAATCGATTTTGTCACATGTGACAAATTCAAGAGTCCGCTATGCTATCAAATAGTTAGATATCCTGTTTGTTAAGCCTTTGCTGGGATTGAACCAGTGATCAGTGAATGTGGTTAGGATAATAAAGTTTTTATTTTTTTTTTCATATTTCTTTATTCAATTGTTCCCAATGATCTGCAAGTGTCCATATATTTATCTTTATATACTAATACATGAAATTAAAAATGTATCACTCACTCACATTCATTACAAATGTTTTATATGCAATCAAAATGGACCGTACCTATTCCGTATGTTTTATGCTGAAACAAAAACATACCCTTTCAGTATTAGTATGTCATAAATTCCATATGTTTTATGCGGAAACAAAAATGTACCCTTTCAGTATTAGTATGTCATAAATTTTGTATGTTTTATGCGAAAACAAAAACGTACCCTTTCAGTATGTCATAAATTTTGTATGTTTTATGCGGAAACAAAAACGTACCCTTTCAGACCCTTTCAGTATGTCATAAATTTCGTATGTTTTATGTGGAAACAAAAACGTACCCTTTCAGTATGTCACACATTCCGCACCTATTCCGCACCTGTTTCGCACCTTGTGTTAAATTTTAAAAAGTGCAAACTTTTCAAACCGTATAATAAATACGTTAATTCCGTATTTATTTTTTTAGAACGTATTTACATACGGAAATTCCGTATGTTATTTTTTATAGGGTAATTAGGAAACTTGGATTCGCAACATCAAAAGTTATACCCAAAGGTCTTTCTAGGAGAGTATTTATATGGGTCTGTTTAGTATTTTGTCCTCATGGTGGTGAACATACAAAAATATTAAAATGTCAGTTTGATATATGTGATGATATGGTTGTTTTCACCAAATTTCATCAAAAAAATGATCAAGGTGGTCTTGAATCACTAAATATCCCATGTCCATGTGATAAAGAACATCAAGGAGCTTATGATGACATTGTATCTTGTTGAGTAAATGACCAACACCATGTATTATAAAAGAGTTTTATTAGCAAGTAAATTCATCCAATCAGGCTGGTTTTTTTATTTATATTTCACTTTTCATGATGGTTAGTTTTTCAAAACTAATACATCTGATAAATTTTATGATTTTAGCAATCAATGATGATGTATGGTATCTTGATCATAAAATTGGAACTGAGAAAATCAAGAATTACATGAAGACAATATGTTTCAATGCTGGTATAAATTTAAACAGAAGAAAATGGTCAACCATTCTGGTTGTGCTACTAGTCTAAATTGGTTATATCAAAGTGGTGTTGATGACACACAAGTGATGACAATCTCTGGTCATAAAAGTCTCAAGGGTGTGAGATCATATATTGCACCCACTATATATCAAAAAGCTGGTAAAATAAGCAATGTTCTTCAAATGGCTTTAACACCACCACAAGAGTCATCAACTTCAAATAAAACATCTCAAAAAAATACAGGTTCAGACTAAAGATGTTAGTCGAAATTACTTCACTTAGTAAATGATTGTCACTGAATCCAAAATGCTGAAATAGTTTTTCATAGTTGCCGAAATTAACTTTATTAATTGCCAAAATTATAATCAAAATTATTTGAACACTTTTTAACTCAATAGCCAAAATTCTGGGTAGTTTTTTTATGTCCATCATTATGAAAATATTGTAAATCTGAAATTGCCTGCTGAAATTGATTTTTTCAAAAACCATTCCAGCTAACATCTTTAGTTCAGATGTAAGTCATTTTAAATCTTCTAAAAATTAATATTTACATATATTTTTTATTTTTTATCTTTTGCATTTTCTTTAGAAACATGTTTAATTTAACAATTCTTTTGATGATAAAGAGCCTGAAGATGAGGATAATTCTGATGTATATATATATATATATTTAATTCATTCAAAATAATCTTATTTCCATTTTTTTCAAACAGGAGCCAGATGACATGAGTGATAAAGGCAGTAGTGTTAAATTATTAGGTGTAAGTATATGATAATATGCACAGAAGTATACAGATTTTTATATTATTTTAGAAATTTACACATGTTACTTGACCATATAAAAATAAACCATTTCATTCACCCTTAAGAGGAATCATCAACAATGCTATCAATAACAACACTCAAACAATAAATAGAGATCTTTCTAATAATAACAGCAACTAAACCAATAATATTAATGTTAAAAATATTTATTATAAAAATTGCTACATAATAAATAATATACAGTGTGTTAAGAAAAAAATTGGCCTCCGGAGATATAAAATTTAAAATGCATAATTTCCATATTAATTAAATAAATCATAACAAATCATTTTAGACAATAATAATTGACTCTGTAACTTAGTTTTAATTAAATTTATAACCTTTTAAACATCGTTTTTTGTGCTTTAAAAATGACTGCAAACAAGTTAAATTCTCAACGCCAAACTCTTGTACATTTTTGGAATAATGGAGTCCGATCTCAAAAGGAACTCCACAAAATTACTAATATCCCCCTCTCAACAATCAAGTATAATATCCAAAAATTAAAAAAAACTGGAGATGTTGCACATAGACGAAGCAATGGTCGTTCCAAAAAGATAGGTTTATGTAAATCACGTGACATTGAGCAGTACATTTGCGAAGACAGTTCTCTATCTTTGCGAACCTTGGCTACTAAATTGTCCAAGGATGGAGTTAAAGTGTCCCATGTAACAGTTGGAGCATGATTAAAGGAGCTTGGTTACAAAAATAGTCTTCCAAATGGTACACCAATGCTCACTGTGGTCCAGAAGGCGAAGCAAGTTGAATGGGCCACAAATCACTTGAATGATCAATGGGAAAAGACCTTATTTTCTGATGAAACAGCCTTTCAGTTAT